CGGGTTCGGGTTCGTAGTCCCGGTTTTCGTAGTTTCGTCTTTTGCATCTTCTGACTCGCTCTTGTTGAAGTCTTCCTTCAAGATTTTGGCAAGCCGAGAGCGTTCTTTCTTTGCTAATGGGTCTTTATCGTGCCAGACACCCTCGGGCAGTGCCTCTGGATAATGTGCTTTGACGGTAAGCCACACCGCCACACCCTCGGGCGTGGAGACAAGCTTGAATGTGTTGAGTCGTTCCAACACTTCTTCGGCACATTTTCGGTACTGTAGTTGACCTTTCAGACTCCTCACTGCTTCGACCAGTACCATCCCGCATTCTTCCCGTAACCACGGAATGTCGCGTGCCATTCGATAGACATTGTCCAAGAGCTTGTTCCAGGAGTCCAGCGAGAGTTCCGGTTCAAGGAGTATTGATGATTGCATAATGGCCTTGAAACCAAACAATTTTCCAATGGTATGGTCCCGTTTTTCCTGTGTCTGTTAGCTTCGTAATATTTAGCATATCTACAGTCCTACCTTTCCCGGTACGTTGCCTTTGGCTTTGGTCTTCTCTTCCACCATCTTGATGACGGATGCCGCGTCAAGCTGCGAATCCTCGGCATCATCCTTTGTTGCTGCAAAACGTTGCCGTAACAACTCGGTCAGCGTGAGCGAGAATCCGACCCTGGCAGCTTTACGCTGACTGCAAAGACCTTTGATCAGGCGTACTAGCGCATCCTCCACATCTTTGGTCGATGGCTTGTTTTCGGGCGAAAAGTTGACGATGATTTGTTTGGCGGCTTCAAGACGAACATCATCTTCCTCGGCTGCCAGGTCTGCGTAAAGCTTGGAGAGCTTCACCTGGTCTGTATTACTTTGTCTGCGCCGTTTTGCAGGGGCTTCCTCCACTTTTTCGATTTGATCCGCCTCGCGCTCTCTCTTGCGTATTTTGCTGCCCATTTTACTTGATTTGCTGATGAATGTATTGGACTTTGTCGCGTTGCGACTTTCGAGAAAAGTCAAGCACGGTTTCCAGAAAATTTGGGTGCTAACCTTATATGGACTAGTTGCTCGATGTCCAGCCACCGCTAACGTTGACGGGGGTTGTGCGCGACTATGAGCATGGGGACTTCTCTAAAATCTGCGTAGGAATTCAGGACGTCGAGATTCACCAGAACTTGGTGCCAAGCTCGCACCCGAAATGAATATATTGGGTGTCATATGAAACTGTCATCGACCATGCACTATGGAGAAATCTACTGACGATTGGTAAGGGTTTGATGCATGAAATCATACAGACTATGGCATCGACGAACAGCAAGGCGCGCTCTTGACATGACGTTCGGGGTATATATGTCCTGCGAAGGAGCCCGTGTTTTCTGAATTATACTTTCAAAACACTATCTAGGTAAAATCTATCGTAAAGGTATACGTAAAGTTTTAGTGATAGGTACAGCACTTAAACCCAAGCGTCTTTCTACGTCCGACGAGACTTGTCATCCATGACAGGTTGAGATCAATCAGTCATCGTCATCGTCATCAAAGCCTGCAAAGACTCCGAGTGGCTTAGGACGGTGTGTGTTTTCAGAGGGAAGCTGTTGGGGTATTAATTTGCCTGGAGAATCTGTAGTCACCTCCTGTGCAGCCACATCCTGCTGTTGCTGCTCCTGCAATACTTTGTCCCTGTCTGCTTTGAGATGTGCAGGTATGTTGAATTCGTCCAAGTTTTTGCCCTTCTGCAGAAAAGGAAACGTGAAGTCAGTGTATGTTTCACTTCAATTTGCACATTCCGACTTACTTCGCGCCAGTACTGGAGACTGAAGAGAGCGCCCGCACGGATCTTTTCGTTGCTGGGCCACGGATACCAAGCCAGGTTGCTAGCTTTGAGCTTCTTTAGCCATTCTTCTTCTTCAGGCGTGATTTCGAGCGCAGGACCAGCAGCATCTTCGCCTTCCTTCTGCCCTTGTACAGCTTCAGTTGCAGTTTCTACAGTCTCTGGTGGGAGAGCAGGCGTGTTAAGGCCATTGGTGGGGGCTCCACTTGAGCCGACGTCTTCGTCCTCCTTGTCTTTGTCTGCCGCAGGAATGCGCTCACGATACGTCGGCGGGACTGTGTATCTCGAGATGTTGGTCGCATACTGTAAAAGCTCGTTGAACGGCACGGCGCGTGAGTCTTCTGGAAATGTCGTCACAGACGTGTCAAACAGCTCGTGGCGCAGTTCGGCGAGCTTTTTGACGGACGTTTTGAGCTGTTCTTCGAGAGCGTCGGCTTCTGCGCGCAAGTGTTGGATGCGTACATGGTTTGCCTGGTGTTTAGCGACTGCGGCATTTTAGTCGGTGTTCTCAGTCAAAACGAATGGCAGCATACGTTGATCCAGTCCTTCACTGAGCTCGTCGTCAGCAGCTACCAAGTCGACTGCAGCTTGCGTGGCTGGGTTGTAGGCGGCGATTGAGTCGACCAGCGTGGTCAGGGCCTTTTCGACGCGCTCAAACTGCTCGTTGAGGATGTCGTCCATGGTTGATCAGTAGGCGTGCTGACGGCGGTGGGGCTAAAGGAAAGCGCAGTAAGCGTGAACGTGGTTCGGGTGGAGCACGCGCATACACGTGACCAGTCATGCGCGATTATGCGCGGCGGAAGATGGGTCGTAGGGCTGGACGTGTATGCAGGTTGCGCGCCAGATGGACCAAGCTGAATGGCCAGCGACAGCAGTTCGGTATTCACTTTGGCAATGATGAAACCGGGCCTTCAAGGGCACGAATCACCCACTGGCGCTGTGCTAGACTCGCGGGGTTGCCCGCCGAAGATGCATGCGAAAGCGGGACATGACGAAGCGGCCAGGGCCCTCTCGGCGTGGCCGCTATTTGTGTCGACTGGCTGGAACCCGAGCTGTCACGACGACCAGCATATATCCTCCGCTCACACTACCTCTGCCCGTCTACACCCACATCCTAGCCTCGTACATCGCCTATTGCATTCGCCTGCTCCTAGAGTGCTGCGCCTTCCCGTCACCAAGCAGAGAGCACCCCGCCATCGATTGGTACGCCACCTACTACCAGCTACCACCCTTTGATTGCTGCTCCGCCTACCGACACCTGACGACTGCCTGCCTGCTCCCTTCACTACATATTCCGGTGCACCCCTAAATTCTCCACCCGCGATATTCCGCACATCTTCTAGCCATGGGTAAATCGTAAGTTCTCTCTCCTTGTTGCTTTGTAATGCGGGGCCTTTGCGCCTACCACCCCATCGTCTGGGGACTCCTGCCCTTCACCTCGGACACGCGCCTCGTCGAGCGACGGCTACACGCTGGACCGGACCTCGTCATGGACTCTCTATCCAGGCGCAAATATCGCCTGCCCGACCCCACACTCGACCACCCACCGCGCAAGCATGCAGTCAGAGTTCGACATCGACAACCACGAGACGCACGCGCATCCAGCGTCGCCGCCTCACGTTCCGCCACAGGCGCAAGGAATACCTCTACTAGAACATGAACACCCGCCACTCAAGTTTGCGCGCCGCCATCACACCGACATCCCCAGCCATGACGAGTCCGGATATGCGCACTACAAGGATATGCAGAAAATCGCCTTGGCGAATGCCATACGCGGTTTCGAGGACGAATTGGGATCACGCTGCGGCATCAAGTGCTTGGAAACACAGAAACAAAAGCTGATCGTGTCCCATCACAGCCAGAGTAAACTATCACAGCAGGAGCTGGCCGATCTCCAGAAAGCGACACATTTCGACAAGAAAGAGTTACAGCAATGGTACAAAGGTGTGGCCACAATGGTATAAGTTGGCTGGACCGTAACTGAGTACATACAGGCTTCCTGAAGGACTGTCCATCGGGCATGCTCACCAAGGAGGAATTCCAAAAGATCTATAAGCAGTTCTTTCCTTTCGGCGATCCGTCATCGTTTGCAGATTACGTCTTCAATGTCTTCGATGCAGACAAATCCGGCACAATCGACTTCAAGGAGTTTATTTGCGCATTGAGCGTCACGAGTCGCGGCAAGATGGAGGACAAGCTCGACTGGGCGTTCCAGCTGTACGACATTGACGGTGATGGCAAGATTAGCTACGAGGAGATGTTGGCAATCGTAGAAGCCATCTACAAAATGGTATGTACACAGGCCCGAGGAAATGCCTTCATCGCTGACACATACAGGTCGGCTCCATGGTTAAGCTCCCGGAAGACGAAGACACCCCCGAGAAGCGCGTCAAGAAGATCTTCCGGATGATGGACAAGGACGAGAACGGCAGCTTAGACATGGCTGAGTTCAAGGAGGGCTCGAAGCGCGACGAGACTATCGTTTCCGCCCTGTCTCTCTACGACGGTCTTGTGTGAGGAAGGGGGTCGATACCCAGTGTCATTTTCTATGCTTGTTTCGTTATAGTCGATATCACAGCGCATTTGTGGGATTGGCATACCATTGTCTCTTACTGTTAGGGTGGATGACATCGCCTTGGCGTACCGGACATCATGAATGATGTATACAAAGTGCGCAATTACTTACGTGGCGAGGGATGCAAGAAACAACTTGAAACGTCTTCTGCTTGTACATATTGGCATGGTTGTGATCTTCACCCATGGAGCACTCTCGGCAGCACCTCACAAGAAGTTGTCGACGTTGTCCTCCTAACTAGGCATTCAAGCGAAGTTGGTCCTGCCAGTTGTGGTCTGACGCAATCCTGCGGAACGCTTAGTGCCGAATACAGCTTGGCATACGCGCAGCTTCCTTGGGCGGCCTTGAGGTAACATCAGCGCTGTGAACAAGTAGCTTCAAAACAACACATTGCTAGTACTGTACCGCTTTGTTGTACCATCATCGTCTGCACGCTATGGACAATCCACGTCTGTAGAGATAGACTAGCATTCCGTTCTTCCACTATTGACTTTTGGCGACTCTACCGCTGCGACGCTACGTTTCGGCGCTCTCTCAAGCTGACGCCGGTCCGCTCCACAACGTGTTAAAGCCACTTTCACGCGCCTGATTTGCATAGACAAACACACATACACAATGCGGCGACTCGACATATCCGCATCCGGCGCTGTGCTGGCATCCTTGCTAGCCATCGCACCCTTACCAGCGTCGGCCTTTTACTTTCCAGGCACCGCGCCAACTTCATACAAGACCGGAGACGCTGTACCTCTATACGTCAATCGACTTACACCCGCCGATTCGCAAAACGACCCGAAGCTACGCTCCGTCTTCTCCTTCGACTACTACCATCCGCCCTTCCACTTTTGTCGCGAAAAAGATGGCCCCAAAGAAATCCGGGAGAGTCTGGGAAGCATACTGTTCGGGGATCGTATACAGACGAGTCCGTTCGAGCTGAAGATGGGCGTAAACGAGACGTGCAAACTCCTCTGTGAAGCTCCGTATCCGGGCGCGGATGCGGCGTTTGTCAACAGCAGGATATACCAGGGCTACGATCTTAACTGGTTGATAGACGGACTGCCTGCGGCACAATCGCTCAGGGAGCCGGGCTCAGATCAGACCTTCTATCAACCAGGCTTCGCGCTGGGCCTTGTAGATGAGGATCAGCCCATTCTCAACAACCACTACGATATTGTCATCGACTACCACGAGGCTTCGCCGGGTAACTTCCGCGTAGTTGGTGTGCTGGTGGATCCATACTCCGTGGCGGAATCGAAGAGAGAGGGCGACAACGGGGCAACGTGCAACGGACAGACGCCGGTCGTCCTGAAAGAGAATGACGAAGATACAAACCTGGTCGTCTTTACGTATGGTGTCTACTGGCGACCCAGCCCCACTCCGTTTGCGACACGATGGGACAAATATCTACACGTCTACGACCCAAAAATCCACTGGTTCTCCCTCATCAACTCAGCCGTCATTGTTGTCTTCCTTGTTGGTATGGTAAGCGCGATCCTTGTGCGTACACTCAAAAAGGACATTGCGCGTTACAATCGTCTGGATCAATTTGCGCTTGAGGACTTTGGCGAAAGCGGCGACGCTGATGATACTGCGGATGATTCTGGCTGGAAGCTGGTACATGGAGATGTGTTCAGGCCACCAAAGAACCCGCTACTCTTGTCCGTTTTGGTTGGCAATGGAGCCCAACTCTTTGCCATGACAGCGCTGACTATAGGTAAGTTGGCAGAATCCCTTTGTGTGTCAAGTCTCTACTAACATGGATGATAGCATTCGCGCTTCTCGGCTTCCTGTCTCCTAGCAACCGCGGCGCTCTCGGAACAGTCATCATCATCTTCTACACACTCTTCGGTTTCTTCGGTGGCTACACAGCGGCGCGTACCTACAAGTTCTTCCATGGCGAGTCGTGGAAGCTGTGCTTTTTCTATACCCCGGTTGCTCTACCTGCCATCGTATTTGGCGTCTTCTTCCTCATGAACCTGTTCGTTTGGGGCCGCGGTGCATCCGGTGCCGTTCCATTTACTACCATGCTTGTGGTCGTCATTATTTGGTTCGTCATCTCAGTACCACTAAGTGTCGCTGGTTCCTGGATTGGTTTCAAGCAAGCAGCTATCGAGCCACCCGTCCGCACTAACCAGATCCCACGACAAATCCCGCCGGTAGGAGGTTATCTACGACCTCTTCCCTCCATGGCATTAGCTGGTGTACTCCCCTTTGGCGCTATCTTTGTCGAGCTCTATTTCATCATGAACTCGATCTGGTTCTCGAAAGTCTACTACATGTTCGGCTTCCTATTCATCTGCTTTGGGCTCATGATCATCACCTCGGCGGCGGTCACTGTGCTGATGATTTACTTCTTGCTTTGCGCAGAGGACTACCACTGGCAATGGAGGTCTTTCTTCACGGCTGGTGCAAGTGCAGCGTATGTGTTTGCCAGTTGCTTGCTATATTGGATCAAGGATGTAAGCTGGACTAGCTGGACGAGTGGTGTTGTTTACCTAGGATACTCTGCACTGCTGAGTTCGCTGGTATTCATTCTTATTGGTAAGCTACACAACGCAGTTCTCCTTTGTAGACACGTGCTAACAAGTCATTAGGCACCATTGGTTTCTTCGCAAGCTGGCTCTTTACCCTCAAGATCTACAGATCAATCAAGGTGGATTGAGCTACGAACAATAGTGTGGAAGCTGAAACCGTCAAGTAGCATCCCAATTCTTCGCCATCGGAGATATCCAATTGGCATCATTTACTAGAAAAATCACAGCCATACAACCGTTAGCCCCGTGGACTATGCAGCTATACGTCTTAATGTGGTTCAAGCTCGCCAATGTGTTGAACTGTCAAGAAAGTGAATGAATCCGTTCTCCAGAGCCAAACAACAGAGGAACCCAGTCACTTCTGAGCTCTGTGGAATGTATCTTGTCGATGAGACTTGAGTTGTTTCTCGCCAATCGATTGTGATGTATCTCGCTTCCCCGATATCCACCGACACTAAGGATAATCTCTCCATTCCAGAAACTTATCCGGAAGCCTTCGCAGTTTTGAACGTGTTTCCGAACGATATCTTATCGCTCTTGTTACCTCTTCCTCTTTTCGGAAACTTTCGACCATCGATTCTCCAATCTTCTGCAATGACGTCAACCCTTCGCACGAAGAAAGATAAGAAAAGACTCCCATGATCACCATTTGACCACTAAAAGCGTGTCCAGCGTCTACAAAAGGACAACGGATCCGCTTATTCTCAAGCCCATCTGCACGTTCCAGAAGACTCGACTCCTTCCCTCGTCCAATGCATCAAAAGGACAATCGGGCATCTCTCGGATTTGAACTCTGTGCACTGACCATCAACGCACAAACTGACGCGATGCCAGATTTAGACTAAATTGCGGACACTATCGAGACCCTTCCCGTCGAACCAAACCATGCTCTCACGTTGAAACCCAAGGCCCGAGAGTTTTCCGGTGTTAATGTCATGAGTGGTGAGTCTTTTTTGCAGAAGTTTACCGTCGTACGAAAGGGTTATCAAAAGGTTTGCTTGCACGAGTATATATAGGAGGGATGTTTGTTGTCATGTTTGGACCCTGTGTAGAGATCAGCTTTTCAGATTGCATCACTCTGCGGTATTCGCATACTCGCTGTAATACAACCCTGGTGTTTGACTCCTGCTTCTTTATCAGGCAACCAGGCTACGGATACAAGAATCCACTATTACAATAGTGGTCGATCTTTTACTTTTGTTGGGGTGATTGGCATACTCCCTATATATTGAGTACTCTTACCCAGCCTGTTCACAACAACCAAACAACTTTGTCGTTTCGTTTTCCATCGCAAACCCAAGACCTCGAGGTCTTTGTACGACAAACATGGCTACCGAAGGCATACAGTTCCCTCTTTCACGGGACTTTGCCAGTCCCTCTAACGCCCCGACACATGCTCGCCCATCCTCATCATCCTCAGATACCACAACCCTCAATGGCGAAAAACCAGTGCCTCTCCATCGCGCACCGACGGCCGAAGACATGGTCAATCTTCCTATCCGCACACTCTCCAACAACGCCAACCTCGACGAATACACACAAGAAACCATCTCGGGGCAGATGGTCCGCGAGGTTCGATCCAACGCCGGCAAGGTTGAGAAGTACGACTTGGTTACGTTTACCATTGACGACAAGGAGAACCCTAAGAATTGGAGCAAGGCATACAAGTGGTGGTGTACCATGTGTGTCGCAGTGACATGCTTTGCCGTGGCTTTCAACTCTGCCGTCATCACAGCGGATCTGGAGGGTGTGAGCGCGGAGTTTGGGGTTAGCGAGGAGGTGTCGCTATTGACCATAACGCTTTTCGTGGTTGGATTCGGTGTCGGACCAATGGCTTTTGCTCCCGCGTCAGAGATTTGGGGAAGGAGACCAGTATATGGTGTTACACTTGCTTTGGCAGTCATCTTCACTATTCCAGGAGCAGTCGCACAGAATATCGGCACACTGCTGGTAACGCGCTTTATCGCTGGTGTAGCGTTCTCAGCACCTATGACGCTCGTAGGAGGAACACTGGCCGATATGTGGAGGAATGAGGAGAGAGGTGTCCCAATGGCAGCCTTCAGCGCCGCACCGTTCATCGGCCCTGGTGTCGGACCTTTGGTTGGCGGCTACCTCAGTCAAGCTGGTGGCTGGCGCTGGCTTTACTGGATCCAGCTTATCCTTTCTGCCATTGTCTGGGTTCTCATCACATTTACTGTACCAGAGACTTATGCGCCTAAGATCCTGGCAAAGAGAGCGAAGAAGATGCGCAAGGAGACGGGCGACGACAAGTTCGTCACGGAACAAGATCTCGATATGCGACCTTTCAGCCAACGCCTCCAGCTCTTCCTCTTGCGTCCATTCCAGCTGCTCTTCCGCGAGCTCATCGTCTTCCTGATCTCGGTATACATGTCCGTTCTGTACGGTCTTCTATACATGTTTTTCGTCGCATACCCGATTGTCTACCAGAAAGGCAAGGGCTGGAGCGCAGGATCAACAGGTCTCATGTTCATCCCACTCATCTGCGGTGTGCTGCTCTCTGCTGCCTGCGCGCCGCTCGTCAACAAGCACTACATGAAGTTATCGGAAAAGCACAATGGTCACCCGCCAGCCGAAGCACGTCTGATCCCCATGATGTTCTCATGCTGGTTCATTCCCATTGGAGTCTTTATCTTCGCATGGACCAGCCAGAAAGAGACGCACTGGGCAGGACCTGCATTTGGAGGTGGCTCTGTGGGCTTCGGTTTCATCTTCCTGTACAACTCGGCCAACAACTATCTCGTCGACTCGTATCAGCACCAGGCTGCGTCAGCTCTAGCGGCGAAGACGTTCTTGCGTAGCTTCTGGGGTGCAGGCGCTGTCTTGTTTACGAATCAGATGTACGACCGTCTGGGCGATCAGTGGGCCAGTTCACTCCTTGCCTTCATCGGTCTCGCTTGTTGCGCAATTCCTTTCATCTTCTACGTTTACGGTGCAAGGATTCGGGCGCGTTCTCATTACGCCTACAGTGCGGAGACGGAGAACAAGGAAGAGAAGCAGGGAGCATAGTTAGCAGGTCGGTCTTGGGAGGTTATATTCGATTTTAATTGTTGTGTGTTGCATTGCAGGCGTTGGAGGCTTGGAGATTCCCGTCGGGTAATGATCGTCTGAGGGGTCCTGGGACTAGAAGACTCTCGAAGGCGCTTATGGGATATGTTAGTTGTTCGTAATCTTTACTGAGATGAATGCATGCTCGATCGATATGCATGCGGTTCCGCTGTGACCACCAAGTGAAGTGTTGTTGCATGACGCTGAGATTGCAAGCATGGACTTGTTGACGTTGATGTCATACGACCGACGGTAGTGCGGACACGATGGCAAGTCCCTGGTCAGAGTGTAGAAAGTGGATGCTCGATGAACAGGCTCAGTAATTTCCTTCGTAGCGAGCGTCAAGCTTCTTAGGCGTGTGACTAGCTGGGGTTAGCTTGAGGGCTGATGGGCACCCTGGCGCAGAGTGGGGCTCCAGCGAGCGGAAAGGCCGACTCAAGTCGACACTCCACCAGCGCGACTATCCGGCCCAGACAAGACCTCTGACGACTTTCCCCCGAGCTTCGACCATGGACGAGCTTAAGGACCAGCACAACCCCAACGCGACAAATGGGTTCATGCAAGACACGCCGCCACGAGCCGACGTCGACGAGATCCTGAGACGCAAGCGGAAAGCGCGAGAGTACAAGGTAGGCTGCCCGTGGTGGTGCGCTAGATGCGAAGGCGTGCAGAAGACGAGGTGGTGAGGGTCGAGGAGCCTTAGTATAGTCTGCGCTGGAAGAATGGCCTCTCTGCATTGCCGAATTGGGCTACAGGACCCGGCGCATTCAAGCATGGCAGAGCTACTGCCCCACGAACATGCGCTGACTCTCTGCTACCATACAGGCCTGCTACCCGTGTCGCCAGCGCAAGGTCAAATGCGACCAGAACGTCCCGTGCAAGACATGCGTCGTCCGCGAACACCCCGAGCTGTGTACCTACCACCCGCCCAGCGAGTCGCATCCGCCTGCGAAACGAATAAACCTCGGGCTCGGCCAGAACAACGGCCATGACTTTTCGAATGGCATCGTCCACATCCATGGCGGCACCGTCACCCTGCCCCGGGAGGACTGGGAACGCATCTGCGGCAAGCTGCAACAGGCGGAAAAGTCGCTCAGTGACTTGAAGAACGCCGTCGGCAGCGTCGCAGAGATACCGCCCCCGATCAACGGCTTCTCTCCTGCCGACGCATCTGAAAACACGCCTCTGGCAGCAGCAGCGCCCATGGACGGCGAGCAGAGCCACGTCCGGACCCAAGGCATACACACGCGCAACGACATCACCGGCCAGACAATACACATCGGTCCCAGCTCAGTACCAGCGCTCGTCATGGCATTAGGGAGGGGAGATACACAGTGGGCACCGGGCGTGCAAGATCTCCTGGGCAAGAAGAGCATGCTACCAATTTTTGGCCTGGACAACGAGAGCGCTACATATCCCTTTGTCGATCTTTGGGGACTGCCGCATGGATCCATAGCGCGCGCTCAAGAGCTTGCCAATGCGTTACCGAGTGATTCCGAATGCCTCAGTTTCTTTCGAAGCTATCGCGAGACCGCACATGCCGTATACCCCGCCGTTGCCGACATCGAGGCCATCGAATCCGATCTTCTGCTCTTCTTGATCAACCGCGCAAGTGCACAAGGCACCAACGGCATCACAGATCAGCAGATATATGGCAAAGACTTCCATTGGATAGGCATGGTCTTTGCCATACTGGCTTCCGGTTGTCAATGTTCGAGTCTGTCGCGAAGGGAGAGGGAGCTTACATCGCAGGTTTACGTCTGTTGCAGCTTCGAATGTTTACGATTTACAAACTTTCTATCGCATGCGACTATCGAGAACATACAGACTCTTTTGATCCTCGGAAACGTCATCTCGAATAACATGAATGCTGGAGTCGCTTGGAGTTTGATGGGTTTGACAGTACGCCTTTCGCAGACACTAGGACTACACCGACAATGTCCCCCTTCCACCCCAGTGCAGCAGAGGGTCATTCGAAGCAAGACATGGTGGGCGCTTCTTTGGCAGGACTCGCTGCTGTCTGTCTCGTACGACAGAGCCTCGTCGACGACCACCATTGATCATACTGTACCCATGAGCCAGCACACAGCGCCGGGAACAAGGACATATGTCGAGAGCATGTACAGACTTTGTAAAGTAGGGCTGGATATAGTGCGTGAGCGCCAGAGGCCACAGAATTCGCATGACGCCCTGATACGCATCACTGAGCATCGCAACGAACTCCAAGAAATTATGATAGATGCTGCAGACTATCTCAAAGACTCTAGGAGATGCCGGTCTATGCGCGATCAGCTCGAACACTGGGCGCTATACCTGCACATATCGTACGTCACATCTGAGCTCTGTCGACCAGCCATCAGTCCAGCCACTGTCAATCTCGATCTCTCCAAGACTCTGCGCAAGACATGCATCGACAGCCTTACCAACACTGTCGAAGCCTTCCTCGGTTTGCAAAACATGACGCCATTCGCAACTCGTTCCTGGTCCGCTGTGCATCGTTCCCTGAGTTCTGCTCTGCTCCTCGGTATTCTTGGCGAACACAACCGCAACGAACGAGCGCGCAGTTTGTTGCAGAACGTGATTCAAGTTCTTACGGATGTCACAAAGGACGTCGACCCCGCGGAGCTTGCCACGCCCATTACACGGTCCGTCTCGGCTTTGGAGCGGCTGCTGAGGATCACCACAACACACAACCGGAAGGCGAGTGAAGCGGGCTCACAGGCTTCCCCCACGATGCACGTCTTTACTGCACAGGACATCAACAACGCCCTCAACGGGGACGCTGAGAACATGTTCTCGCAATCACCACTGCTCGGACTGGACCTTGACTCCTCACCGTATGCACTTATGGAGAGCATCGTGTGGGGTGCGCAGAAATCGCCGTGAAGAGGTGAGGTGGCGAAAGAGAAGTTAAAAAGTGAAACAAAAGTCATGATACCCAGACCTGCGCAGCGATCTGTAGCGTTGCCACTTACAAAAGCCGGAGATAATGATCAGACTCTCGTCTTGAATGGCATCTAATCAGTTTGGCTGCCCCAAAAACCTGATAATGCACATGACGCTAGGCGTGTCTCAAGAACGTTGTCGCGCAAACGATATTAGTGAATGATGAGCGAGAGGCGCCTTTGGGGGGTTATTTTTGTATTGCAAGGGACAGGCTGTCCTGTGTTCCAGAATCATGTTTTTAATAGATTCCAATTGAATGAGATTCCATTCGCGCTGAGAGAGGTGCTCTGTTACATACATTACCCGCTGTGGAAGTGAGGGCCTGTCCTCAGCCCTACCCATGACGTCGCTAAGCGAGTGTTTGCCTAGACCCTGGTGCCTATCATCATAACTCGTGCAAACAACCCTAGCCTTCACCTAGATGGACTTTGGCGTGCGCCTTTCCTCTGAGCTTAAATGAAGGCTTAGCTCTTGCTTGCCCCGCCACTCAGCACTCGTCGCCATGTTCATGCTCCGAAACCGTAAGTCCGCCTGCAGCTTTGTTTGCTCTGTTTCTCCTTGCCGTCCCGCTGCCCCTCCCCCACCGTTGCTGAGACGACACTAATCCGTACCACCAGTCAGTAAATTTGTCTTTGGCGACAGCTCCAAGGAAACCATCGTCGAGATCGCCCAGGGCCAGCTTTACCTCGTCCGACCCCGCTCTGTCAAGGGATACAGCGAGCTTATTTTCCCGGACGCAACGGCGACCATCCGCCGCACCGGGCAGGAGTTCCAGTACCAGCTCGTTATCCAGCGCGCATACGCAGAAGGCGAGGAGGACTTGTTGGCAGAGGAGAACGAGGACGCGGCACTCGACGCGCTCGCAGGCGACAAGGACGAAAAGACTTTCCTGCTCGACGAAGACCTGCAGTTTCGCGACGACGTTCGTTCAACCGGCGAGAAGATCTTTGCGTGGCGCGACCTCAGCGGTGACGTCGACGACCTCTGGGAGTTTGTGTGCGACCGGTCAGTCAAGCCGGAGACTGCTTCGCTATTCGAGCGCGTTGCTCTGCAGTGCCAGTACGAGAGGAAGTTCAGAAGGAGCCACGAGCACGCGACCGAAGACGATCTTGCCGCTCTAGCATACTACGAAGAGCCCATCCCCGACGCGAGCCCCGTCACCAGCCCGACCCTATCCACTGCCCGTGCCCTTCCCATCGAACCACCGACCACCGAGGAGCTCTTTCCCAACACAACCAAGGAGAAGATGGCGAAGAAGGTCGCAGGCAAGGGCACTGTCCCAGAACAGGAGGAGGCTACGGCCGCGCCACCGTCTGCCACTCAGCCCCAGGCTCTGGAGACCTTGGTCGAAGGAGAGGCGGAGCTCCACCTCTTTGACTTCCCATCCGGTACCTTCATGAAGCAAGACCCCAAAGTCAGTGTTACCGTTACCGAGATCGGGGACTGGAACTACTGGCTACACATTGCCGGTGAAGAGCGCGAGTGGCTGGGACAACCCATCGTCGAAGACATCAATCCCGTCTTCAACTACGAATACAAGTCCTTCATCTTCAACCACTACCTAGACGACGGCTCAGCGTACTCATGGCTGCTAAAGTTCGAGGATCAAGATGGCCTCGAGAACATTCAGCAAGGTGTGATGCAAGCTTTGTGGGAGCACCTGAACAAGGTCAAATGGGGCAAGGCAAAGGATACGGATCGAGAGTACGTCTTGGAAGCCTTCCAAGACTTGACCATGGAGGATGCGCCAGATGAAGAGCCAGAAGAGGAAGAGGAGGAAGAAGAGGACGAGTATGAGAGCACGAACGAGCAGCGAAGCGAGCACTACGACTCTGACGAGTCTGAAGACGACGTCGAGACTGGCCCCACGGACGGAGACCAAAACTCGCAGCTGGCGGTTGGCTACAAGCACGACAGGTCGTTTGTTGTACGTGGCAACAAGATTGGTGTCTTCAAGCACACTCCCGAGAATCAGCTTCAGTTCTCTACGACCATCTCGAACATCAAGACACCAGGCGGCAAGGCTTTCAACCCGAACAAGGTCATGCTGCATCAGCAGGATCGTGATATGATTCTCCAGAATCTCGATAACCCGAACAACCTCTACCGAATGGATCTCGAGACTGGTACCGTTGTAGATGAGTGGAAGGTGCACGACGACATTCCAGTCAAGGTTTTTGCACCAGAGAACGTACGTGTAATTCATCTCATACATGCGATCATAAACTAACTTGTCGCAGAAATTTGCCCAAATGAGCGGCGAGCAGACTTTCCTGGGTCTCTCCGATAATGCGCTCTACCGTGTTGATCCCCGTTTGGCTGGCAACAAGCTCGTCGATGATCAGCTCAAACAGTATGCTACGAAGAACGCATTCTCCGCCGCCGCGACCACCGAGAAGGGCCACATCGCTGTTGCGTCCGAGAAGGGAGATATCCGTCTGTTTGACAGACTCGGTATCAACGCTAAGACTCTTATCCCCGCGCTCGGTGACCCTATCATCGGCATGGACGTCTCAGCAGACGGTCGCTGGGTTCTTGCCACTACCCGAACCTACCTTCTGCTTATCGATGCCCTCCAGAAGGGCGGCAAGAACGACGGCAAACTCGGTTTCGAGAAGTCCTTTGCCAAAGACGACAAACCCCAACCGCGCCGTCTCGCCCTTACACCTGCCCATGTCGCCCAATTCCAGCACGAGACCAAAGCACCCATCTCCTTCACCACTGCACGTTTCAACACTGGCCTCGACGAGAAGGAAACCACTATCATCTCTGCCACCGGTCCCTTCATCGTCACTTGGAGCCTTAAGAAGGTTATTGCTAATCGTAAAGACCCATACAATATCAAGCGCTACGCCGAGGAGGTCAAGGCCGACAACTTCAAGTTCGGTTCAGACAAGAACCTCATCGTTGCGCTGCCAAACGAAGTAGACATGGTCGCTAAGAGGGCCTTGCAACGACCGACGCGGGAGAGTATTGCGATGCCGAGTCGTGTTGGCGCTGCAAGGAGGAGTGGTGTTCGAGGAAGCTATCTGGGTCGGAATGACATTGTGAACAGCCCGTACTAGACTGACATGCTGTCACACGCGAGCCTTTTTCTAAACGTATAGGTACGGTCTGGTGATGGTCATGGCCATCATCATGGTAGGCGGCGTCGGCGTTGTGCGATTTTCTTCTCCGAGCTACAGGCTGTGTGCCATCACGACGAAATGCGAGTAGCTAGTAACCATATGATTCCCCTTTTAGATCGATAGTGAGAATGGCCGTCTTCAATGAAACTTCCGATGCTGTTGTGTTGACATGATCGAAAGACATCATTGCTTTAAACTTGTGTGCTAAATGATGCCGGGCTTCCCGCTGTCTAAATATTGCATATGCGTTGTTTCTATCTCCAACGGCTTTCGTCAGTGATAACTGGTCTGTTCACAAATTCCTCTGGGTATGTGGTGGAACAACCTTCAATTTTTTTCCTCACCATGAAATTGGGAGTAGGATTTAGAGACATATTCTCAGTTTCCACAAACTTTTAACAGGCATGGTGGCATCTATGTCCCATCGCACTCTTTTCTACGTATCAGTTTCTTGTCATTGTTAGTTCGTTGTAGGTTCCGAAACAACACGTAAGAGGTTCTTGTCCAGATTTAAAGAGAGAAGCGAGTGCGAAGATGACCATGAGGTAGAGGCGGAATCCTTATATGGTTTATTTTCTTTTCATCTTGGACACAGAGTGGAGGCGTATAGTTCTTGATTGCCGAATCCTTGAATAGTAATCCTTTCAAGCTGGCAGAACATGGGTTGATCGCTTGGTGGTCTCTGATCCTGTCAAAATTGTAGGCTGAAGAAAGTAATGTAGAGTCTGGATCTCAGATCTCCACTATGATCGCTTGTCGCTAGAGAATGACATTGTATCTTGCTGTCGATAGTGAGTTGTTGGACTCGGAGACTTGCAGGAGTCGGGTTGTTCGCAAAGGCATGCCACGCGAGCGCCCCACTCGAAATCTTGAATATGACGTCATACTGCATCGTCTCAAGCTCGCGTTCCTCGTGAAACTTGGTCGCATGTGGCCGGGAGCAAGCCAGGGCCACGCCTTGTGGTGGAGAAGCAGGAAATTAAAAGCCGTTGAAACCCCAGCCACCCGCATTCTGAGTGGAATCTACTAATTTTGCCGACTATATCGAGACGGTTGTGTTCACCTTCCATTCGTCTTCGGTAACGCCTCGCTAGCTACTCGTTCTCCACGTTGCCCAGCATGTCTATAACATCATTTGACAACAAACCCGGCACAGGCGGTTTCCTGAAATTCAACTCTGGACCATCGCGCATATACCTAACATGCGCATTGCCAGCACCAGAAAAGGCGCTTTTATCTTGGCGCGAAGAAGGCTACGACGCGCAATATCTTCCCTACGATCCTAATACACAAACTCAAGCGGCTTATATACGAACCCTTAAACAACTATCCGAAACCCTGAATTTAGGCGAACACTACGCGATAATAGCCTACGGCGACGCAGCCAGTGTCGTCTTGAAAACAGCCCAGAAACCATTGGCGAAATGCTGTGCGATCATAGCGTTTTATCCGAGCTTGTTGCCCAGCCCGAAGACCATGTATCCAAACTCGCATCAATTACAAGTCCATGTCGCAGGGTTAAGCCAGGCTAGTCCGAGACCTGATATGTGCGAATGGAAATTATATCGGTACGAGAAGAGTGCCACAGGTTTCGCAGACCCATCGTCAAAAGCGTATTCAGAGGTAGAAGCCAACCTGGCGTGGACAAGAGCGCTAGCATGTGTGCGAAAAGGGTTTGGCAAGAATGTGGACCTTGAACCGATTGCGCTGAGTCATTGGAATGCGAGATTTGAGGACGATGATCCGGACCGCGCGAGCATGAGTGTCGTAAAGAATATGACGCAAGACAGCCCACACGTGACAATATTGCCGACAATGCAGGGAGGTGTGGGAAGGAAGAAGCTCGCGGAATTCTATGGAGAATTCTTTGTGCCTAGCTTGGTAGAAGACTTTTCCATACGGTTGGTCTCCAGGACCATGGGTGTCAATCGTATAGTAGACGAGATGGTTGTGTCGTTTACACATTCGGACGAGATTGACTGGGTATTGCCAGGTGTACCACCAACGAACAAGCGAGTGGAAATACCCATGGTCAGTATCGTGGCGGTAAGAGGAGACAAGTTGGTCTCGGAGCACATGTACTGGGATCAAGCTTCTGTTCTTGTACAGGTTGGCTTACTAGATCCTAAGATGGTACCGAGGAAGTTGAAAAACGACGGATTGAAAGCGCTACCTGTTACAGGAGCAGAGGCAGCAAAGCAACTTGTTGAACCGCAGCAGAGTCGATATAACAAGCTGTTGCAGATGCATGGTCTGATGGACGGGGTGAATGGCAACTAGTGATTGTCATATCTTGTTTCAGCGCGGTGTTCCGGAGTACGACTCAGTAGAATCGCTTCACGGAGCTGATTTACTTTGTGATAGTCGTACGATTAAAACTCCAATCTTACTCTTTATCGATGTTCATTCGTACGAGGCATCCCTAACCCATCAACCGATAAAAGTGCATGTTGGAAGCTTGTACTCATTAAGTACCCAGTACTTCCTCCTCACGCCTTCCCATTCACCCTTCTCATCCAGATCAGGCACGGCGACCGTTTCCCACTCTGTGTCGAAGCCGGCCTCGAAAAGATCAAATTCGACAATCTTGTTGTAAACATCGTAGACAATTTGGCGATCTGCTCCCATGCCGTTGAAGAATCCGAACTTGCCTCCTTCGCCGTCGGAACCACCAGCAGGATCAAGGAGTCCAATGACATGCTCTGTGAAGAACTCGCGTAGTGCTTTATACTCTTCGGCGAATGTATCGAAGTAGATAGCGTCGAATAGTTCGCCTTTTTCGACGAGACCTGGTACAATGTCCTGCCAGCGGCCCTCATGAATGACAACACCTGGCTTCTCATGCCATCCCTGCTCTTTCATGCGCTTGATAACATCCGGGTGCGCCTCAATGATGTGATGAGTTTTTGGCTTCTTGTCTTGGAGGATACCATCTATGATACCCATACCGTGACCTACGTTCATGACACGAAGCCCTTCTGTCGGTACCAGCAGTTCCGCGGATCTGCGCATGAGAGTTGTCTCCCACTCCATCATGACTCCGTTCGAAGAGTCATCCAGTAATCGGTCGCGGTCGAAAGTGAGCTTTGAAGAAAGATAGTTTGGGTTCTCGGTAGATTCATCGCCCTGCGCTTCTTCTTGGCTTATATCCACTACCTCGACATCTTCAGCTACCTCGTCGGCTTCATCTTCTTCGTCATCATCTTCGTCTGAATCATCGTCTCCAAGAAGTTGGTATTGCTCCATGCGACTCAGCAGCATTTCTGCACGCACACCTGCGTCAACGCAGAGCTCATACAGCTCCTTCAGGCCCAGTCTATGCGCTATGCATCCCGGTGTTTCGCCATTTGAATCCAGGTCGTTCCATATCGCGCCGTTCTCGAAAAGAAATTTGATGGTCTTCACAGCGCTGCTCATCTCATCCTTGCCCTCTTCAGGTAGGTCTCCGTTCGTGCCTCCATTGGTATGCTTCGCGTCATCTTCGTCGGGCTCACAAGCAGCGATCGCAGCGTGTAGAGGTGTGAAGCCGGTCTCGGAATCTTGAACGTTTGCGGAAGAGTTGCGAAGAAGGTTGCGAAGAGAGGCGATATCGTGGTTTGCAGCGGCGAGCAAAATGCTCTGTGTCTGTAGATCTGTCTGAGTATCGAATTCCGGATCGTCCATTGTTACTTTGTTGGACGTTTAAGTTGTTTTCTAGTAATGTATTCGGAGGGGTAGTTGAGGGGTTAGGAAATTTATTGGGAAGCGAGTCATGCAGGGTCCAGCTGGTGGGTGCCTCTGTGTCAGTGGAACATTTTCCCACATGCATTCTCTGAAGACTATAGTATCTATTAGGATTAGATTACATGATACAATCACATGCATACAAGTCGAAACCAGACTGCAAGTTCCTGATCCAAGCAAACCTGCTTGAATTGGATTCCCCCTTTACAACTCATCAATGATACTCAAGTCCAGAAACTTCTCCAACTCCGTCCTTGGGGTGACCGTCCTATTGTCTTGTTCTGCCAGATACTTGTCTTCTTCTACCAAAAAGTCTATCAGTCGATCATCCCAACGTCCACCCCACTTATGATCATCCCAAACAGCCTCTACAACTTCCGCATCTGCACCAACGGCCTTAGCCACAAAGTCGAATACCTTATTCTCTTTTGGGTGATGCGTGAACACGTCCAGCGTCTTCTCGAGCGCCCTCACAAATTCTACAATATCCTGACGCTTGGATGGGTCGTTCAGAGCCTCTGTAGTAGAGTATAGCGCATAAACTTCTCTGTATATTGATGCGTTTTGAGAGGTTATCGCGTTGTCTCCCAGAGCCATAGCGCCGAGCTCGACAGATGTTTCCCACATTCCGTACGCATCCAGGCTACCGTTATTGAGCAGGTTCGGAAGTTCGCTGTCTTTGCACGGAGCCTTCATACAAAACATCGCGTCGACAGTCTCGTATCTCTCGTATTCGTAATCCTGCACGCCAACACTACTCATCATATTGTGGACGAACACTGTTGCGCTCGATACCGGGAATGCGCCAATCTTCTTGCCCTTCAGATCTTCAAGTTTAGCGATACCTTTTCGCTTGTCGGCAACAAGGCGGTACGGGACTTCGCAGATGATATAGATCAGGCGAATGTCGCGATGATTGGCGTACTGTTTGAGACCCTGTGTTTCTGCGTTGGCGCCGAGATCGAAAGTTACGTTTGAGGCGAGGTCAGCTACACCGCCAGACAACAGCGTCGGAGGTGTGCTTCCATTGTAAAAGTTTTCGATGGCGTAGGATTGAGGTGTGTGCTCGATCCACAAGAGAGAGCTTGCAATTCGAAGACTAGCGACATGACGGCATTGAAAAAAGATGGCGGTCAGTATAAGTGATGGATACATGATGTTGGCGGTAGAAGATGAGCCACTTAACTTTGAGAAGTCAACGACACTCTTCCTATCTCTGTTCTATATGTATTCTTTCGCAAGCCAAGAGCTCTGTTACTCCCGGTCAACGCGGCAGTATTGGATTTCTGCACATGAGTTCATGGCATTCGGATAGATAGTATCGAAGCAGGGATCAGTTCATGGGTGTAATTAGCCATACAGATTGTTGCAGGGCCTGATCACGCCATTTCTGTCGATTTGTATAAGCCAAAAAACAAGTCTTCATCAGATAGGGCGCAAGAGAAGCGGTTGACACACTAAAAGCCAAGTATCACCTACTTACAGATTGCCGCGTGTCGATCTTGGGCAATGTGGGAGCGATTGGCCCGTTGATCGCACTATAGCGGATGCAATAAGAGAAGTATGATTGAGGATAGAAGAGCTAAGGAATGAAAAATGCGCACAAGTTTTTGAAGTCCATCGAAGTTGTTACCGGGATAAGATTCGAATGTGGCTTTCGTCATTCCCACCCACCGGAACGCCATGGTATATTCACCAACATAATCAAGCGATGAGAAGCCTCCGAAAACACTAAAAGATGTGCCGAAGCACTTCCAAGCACTACAAAAACAGCTCTAGTGAGACTGTATCCAACCCAGCATCTGACTGAAAGCTTGTGCTTGTGACTGCTTGATCTTGGAGTCCTCGTAATCTCCATAGACGGCGAAGCCATGAGGCACGTCGGAAAAGACTTGTATCTCATGCTCGATTTTGTTGTTTTCCATGGCTCTTCGTCCAGGTGTCAATGCCTCGTCCTCGGAGAACATGGGATCATCCTTGACAGCGGCAATGTAGACGGGAGACTTGACAGCTTCAAGGTCCTCTTTGTATGTCATGGTTGGGTGTGCAACCGCACCAGCTCTGAGAACCGGCTCTTTCTTGACCGTGCCTTGCTCTACATCTTTCTGTGCTTCTTGACCCCAGGCGACGGTGTCGGGCAGCTCTGAGGCCAACATAAGGATGTATTTGGCGCCGAAGCAGTAGCCAACACCGTACATGCCTCCACCGTTGGCAACAGCGTCGGCATACTCTTCCCTTGCACCCTCGACAACTTTGTGAAGTAGCGGAAGGACCTTCTCTGGGGTATGACGAGCAAGCCACATGTCGATCATGAATGACTTGATACCCTCGGCAGTCCTCAGCTTCACTGACTCTAGCCACGACGCTTCCTTTGGAATTTCTGTCATATCAACAGTATTCGGCGCTGGGTCGTTGTCGAATTGGTCAGGCATGACGACCAGGTAACCTTCCGATGCGTACTTGTCAGCCTGCAACTGGTTGTTGGTAGACTTGACGCCTGTGCCGCCGGTGAGCATAAGTAGAAGCTTCGAGGGTGAATGTGGGTAGTCGGCCGGTTTCGCGATGTAGCAATCAACGCCGCCTAGTTTCGTAAGGTCACCGGTGGGCTTCTCGCCAGAAGGGGTAGGACGATCTGTTGTGCAGTGTTCCTGGCCACTTAGAATCTGGCTGTATGCAATTGCCCATGAGAGCAAGAGACTTGACTTACACCCATACTTGGCCCTTGTTGCGCTCTGGTGTCTCCAGGAAAGACGCTCTCCTCTGCTGGCTTTGGCTCTTGGGGCTGCTCTTGGGAAGTCTCCTGCGCATCGCTCTCGGGCGCACGCGTGGCAATGTCGTTGTCCGCCATGATGTTTCTAAGTTGAGTGGTTGTGATTGTTGACTGGGTTGAAAGCTGTCTTGAACGAGCTGCAGCTGTGAAGGGTCCGAGCCTAATTACGTAGCCCCGCACAGCCACCCCAGCCTTGGGAGACGTGCATCAGGTTAGAGCGGGGCCAAAGAGTCACGTGGCGAGACGCGTCGACGCGCTTTCTGAACTTCGCTGAGCCGCCACCCACACACGCCATCTCTACACCACCCACCCACACATACATCACAGTCACAATGGCAGAGGGAGCAATCACGCAAGGCGCTATTCAGTAGGTAACGACATGTTCCACTATACGTCCCTTGCTAACATCACATAGGAGCATCTTTCAGCCCAGCGGCTGCTTCGTAGACCAGCCGATCCTGCAATGCGTACAGATCAAGACGATGGAGCCCAAGGCGGGCGAGGCGAACCCAGTGCAGCGCTTTCGCGTTGTTTTGAGCGACATCCGCAACTTCATCCAGACTATGATCGCAACCAGTATGTCAAGCGTAGGCACAGCAAGACCGTGGCTAACGACGTGCAGCTGCCAACGACATTGTCACATCTGGTCAGCTTAAGAAAGGGTCGATAGTACGTCTGCTCAAGTACAACCCCCAGCGTGTCAAGGACAAAAAGTATGTGCTCCGCACTGTTATGCGAGAACTCTTCTGACTATTGCTAGCATCCTGATCATCATGGAACTCGAGGTCCTGGCACAATACGGCGAACTCGACAAAATTGGCCAACCCGAAGCTCTTGACACCAAGGCTGCCGAAGCGCAGCCCGCGGCCATTTCAGGCAACAACTTCTACGGATCGAAAACGGCACCCGCTCCACAGCCCCAGCGGTCGCTTCCTACTCACCAGAGCAACCCCGGTACTTCATCACACCCCAACCTCTACCCTATCGAATCTCTATCGCCATACGCACACAAGTGGACTATCCGCGCGCGATGCACCGCCAAGAGCGACATGAAGGAATGGCACAACCAGAAGGGGGCTGGCAAGCTGTTCAGCGTAAACCTCTTGGACGATACCGGCGAGATCCGAGCGACTGCTTTCACCGAAGTCGCTGACAAGCTGTATCCTGTCTTCGAAGTAGGCACCGTATACTACATCTCAGCACCCTGTCGAGTCACGCTTGCGAAGAAGCAATTTTCCAATCTGCCCAACGACTACGAACTGCAATTCGAACGCGAGACTGAAGTCGAGAAGGCAGAAGACCAGGAAAACAAGCCACAAATACGATTCAATTTCACCAAGATTGCTGACGTGGCCGACGTCGAAAAGGATGCAACGATTGATACTGTTGGTGTCCTGAAGGAGGTTGCGGAGGTTACTACCATAACATCCAAGAACACCAACAAGGACTACAGCAAGCGCGAGCTGACGCTAGCCGATGACAGTCAGACATCGATCAGGCTCACTATTTGGGGCAAAACTGCTGAAACCTTCGAAGCGCCATTGGAGTCGATCGTTGCTTTCAAGGGTGCTAAGGTCTCCGACTTTGGCGGACGAAGTCTAAGTCTGCTGAGCTCCGGTACTATGATGGTTGATCCAGACATTGATGAGGCACATAAGCTGCGAGGATGGTACAACGCTGCTGGGCAGAATGCCACATTCTCTACGCATCAAAACATGGCTCCGGCTGCTGGTGGGTCCAAGAACGAAGCAAAGGCCATCTCAGCGATCCTAGAGGAGGAGGCATACCTACAAGACACACCCACATACATGAGTCTTCGGGCGTCTGTCTTGTATGTCAAAAACACTACAGTCGCCTATCCTGCGTGCTCGACGGAAGGCTGCAACAAAAAGGTCATTGAAGAGAACCCTGGTTCCTGGTGGTGTGAGAAGTGCCAGAAGGCCTTCCCTGAGCCTCAATACCGCTATGTGTTGAGTGTCAATGTTGGTGATCACACCGGCACGCTGTGGCTCAGCTGTTTCGATGAAGCTGGCCAAGACATCGTTGGCATGTCAGCGAATGAAGCCATGAAGATCAAGATGGATGATGACGAGAATGGCACAACAAACTTCATGAATGCCATGCAAGAGGCGACATGTAAGACGTTCAACTTCCGAGTGCGGGCTAAGATGGAGACGTATCAGGACCAGCCAAAGTAAGTGCAGTGTGAGATGTTGATTCAATACCCACTAACATGTTGCAGGCCGCGATACCAGGTTCTGAACTTGTATAAGCTCAACTATGCCCAGGAGGCCAACAAGCTCGCTCAGCTCATTAAACAGTACGATCTGAACGAGGACAGCTTGTTCGTTAACTAAAAAGTACGGTATACGGACGTTCAGACGGCCAATGTTCTAGTGCAATAATAACTAGAAATGCATTATGCGGTCAGCGAGTTTCACTATATGCCGATGTGGCATATCAACATCTTTCATGTTTTCTGCTGGCACTCGTACGAATGACAGTTGTATCGTACGAGATACCTATATGTGTGTGTTATTCCCGTGGCCTATATTGTCCGACACCACCCCACCATAGCTTAAGCTCCATGACTCGTGAAGCTGCCCCTCTACAAACGTCATTACCAATCATTCCGTAGCTGCTGGAACGGCCTCGGGATAGACTATGCATACAATTCCCATAAGAATTTCTGACCTTTCTGACATTCTGACAATACTTCTGATCACATTTAACGGATCACAATTGCGCACCGCCCACATCACAGTACCCTAGAATTGCATTTCTCGACCAGCAAGGCCTATTACATCACCACGATGAGCGACACTATGCGCGCAGTAGGTATGTAAAGCATACTCATATTTCCACAAGTTGAAGTAGCTAAATGCATGAAGACATCAAGGATGGCAAAGGCCCAATCGAAAACCTCCACATCGCCGACATCCCCAAGCCGAAACTTGGAAAGTCGCAAGCGCTCGTTAAAATCAAAGCCTTTGGTCTAAATCGCATGGACTTGCTGCAGCGCGAAGGACAGTACCCTGTACCGCCTGGCGCTTCCAAGATTCTTGGCGTGGAGTTCTCAGGCACAATTGCAGAGCTGAGTGCAGAGGGTGGAGGCAAGGAGGGCTTCAAGGAGGGAGACGAGGTTTTCGGTCTGGCATATGGAGGAGCTTATGCCGAGTACATTGCAGTATCAACACACATGCTAGTCAGGAAGCCAAAGGAACTGACTTGGGAGCAATGCGCTGGTATTCCTGAAGTAAGTTATTCCCATAGGATCCTGAATATGTTAGCTCGTCGTGGAATATCAGCTGCTAACAAAGACTTCGTAGACATGGATTACTGCGACTCAAGCCATGTATCTCGTCGGTCAATTTGCCGCCGGCAAGACCATCCTCTGGCACGCAGCCGCTTCCTCAGTCTCGATAGCCGGTATCCAATTGTCCCTCGCCGACAAGGCGTCCGCCGTCTACGCAACCGCACGTCAAGATGCCAAATGCGACTTTGCCGTCAAAGAACTCGGCGCAACTGCCGCCTTTAACACAACATCTCAGAACTGGGTCGAGGAGGTAATGGAGGCTACCGACAACAAGGGCGTAGACATCATCGTTGATTTCATCGGCGCATCATACTTCCAAAACAACCTTGATGCAATTGCCAAGGACGGTATCATCGTCAATCTAGGCTTCATGGGTGGAACCAAGGTGCCAGAGGGTACGGATATCAGCGCATTCATCAGGAAGAGGTGCACCTTTGTCGGAAGCAGTCTACGATCAAGAGATGAAGAGTACCAGGGCAAGCTCAGGGACCAACTTGTGGAACATGCGTTGCCCAGGATGAAGGACGGACGGTTCAAGCTCTTCATCGAGAAGGTCTTGCCGTGGGAGAAGGTGCAGGATGCCCACAGGTTGTTGGAAGAGAACAAGACGAAAGGCAAGGTCATTTGCACAATCGACTAAGTGAGAGCCTGTAGTCGAGAGGCAGTATGGAAATAATATCGATAAATATATGAAGTAATGCTGTTGTCGCCAAGGTTTCTACATATCAAAAGGTCTTGAGATCAACCATCAACGTATGCTAACTGTGAGTAACCTATGTTTCTGTACGGCAACATATACTTCACAGTTCTGTTCGTTGACAGATTAGTGTTAGCCTAGAGCTTCAAAGTCTGTGAATGATGGCATAACACTGCAACGCAAAAAAAGGTCAAACTTCACAGAGTAGACAGCAAGCAGCCCCAACCTAGAGGGCCATCACTAGATGCAAAAAAGACGACGTTGGCCAGATTCGAACTGACGCTCCCGAAGGAACAAGATTTCTAGTCTTGCGCGATAACCACTCCGCCACAACGCCCAAAGCGACACCTGTGTGATTCGAACACACGCTCCCGAAGGAACTGGCTAACTTCCCTCAATACAGAGGACTAGCAGGCCAGCGCGTTAACCACTCCGCCAAAGTGCCGGAGATTGATACTGTTTGATGGAAAAACTTGATTAAGGTCATAATATATACATATTAATCGTTCAAAGACGCTAATGTCTTGCACGTACGCAAATCATGTGGACTATAGCTGGAAGTGTCGACTCATGAGATGTGGGGCTTGCTTGTGGGGCTACGAATCTAACTTCAACTCTACCGCATGCAAATGAACTAGAGAGGTATGAAAACAACATGCCTTAGCCTGTAGTCTACATCCGCTACTAATTCCAAAGTTTGTCAAGCTTCAAAGTATTGAAAGCTTCTGGCTTCACTATTTGTATACATATAACTCTATACATACATTCTTGTAGTAGAGTGGAGTAAGTTCTTCTTGAAGGAAGTGTAAAGTTTTTCTAATAGTGCTTGGGTAAGGAGCGGTAGGTGCGGGGATGTTGAGCTATACTTCAACATGTTCGTGTCCAAGGGAACTGCACACTCCCACAAAACCCACGAGTTCTAGAAGTATTTCTGCTTATCTGGAGAATTGGAAGGTCGGCAGAATCCTCTTGTGGCTCTCCAGCTTTGCGTTGCCAAAGATCACACGCTATATCTCTCACAGCATAACTTCCATATTAATGATCTGTATTCAACACCTTAGGTAGGCGTATAGACTGTTTACCTCACGTTAAAATACGTAAGTGGAATATCGCGATCATCATTACGGTACGTGAGGAGAACTAATACCAATGAAACCGCTGACAACCCTGCACGGAAGGCCTACTCGCAACAGCGGACTGTTACAGTGGGATTCGGCGTCAACGCTGTCAAGATCCATGCATGATTGTACTTCAGTAACTCAGATCTCGTTGGCATATATCATGTTCCCATCACTTCATCAGGCTACAGGCCGTAAGATTGTCACGCAGCCATGACCCTGAATACTGGCTTAACTGGTGCTGCAGACTTTGGGGATGACTTCATATTTGGAGCGAATAGTACATTATGTGCTGTGAGCAACTACAAGAAGAAGCTTATCATTATCAGGATAGGTTGACAGAATATTGAGATCCTGGCGGGAGGTATTGTATGCAAGTATCGCTGGGGGTTAGCATGATCTGTCACTGGAAGTGTTCTGGAGCCGGGAAAGATTGTTGAAACTGCGGCCGGAGGGTATGTGTACTTGAAAAGACATAATTAGTCTTACAAGTAGCCACTTGAGTACGCCAGTGAGGCGGACGTGAGCTATGCTTGCTGTCCACGCAATTTCAACGTGATTACGACAAGAGTGATTGAGATTACGACATCAGTGCTTCGTGAAGAAGCAATATGCTAACGACACCATGCGTCTCTGGGTTAGCGCAGCATAGGAGAATAGTTCTTGTGAGGCAAAACCAGGTCAGCTTTCAAAACATCACAGTGCGTACAGAACAAGGCATGCATAATATCAACAGTCTTCTATTTGTCTCATATCGCTACACCAAGCCTCCTACATCTTCTCAAACATCCTTGTGACTAGAAGTTAAACAAAAAAGCAATATTGTGAAGCGATCGTTTTGCATCAGAGTGCGCGTCGTTCGTTCTATCCCGTGTATGTCCGCGAGAACAAAGCCTGTCCCAGGATATTTGCACCAGTCCCAAAATATACACACAAACAGAAGTTTTAACCACGAAACGCCAGAACCGCCCGTCTCATGAAAGAGAGAAAGAGGGAAAAGGGCGCTTAAGCGGCACCAGCGTAGACCTTGCCAACAGCCGAGAGGCCGTTGCCAGAGTTGAGCTGGTTCTCACCGTCACCAACCATGAACCAGGAGTAACCCTGGACCTTGTCGGAGCCATCGAGGTAGGCCATGGCGTCCTTGAGGAAGCTGGCAGCCTGCTCCTCGGAAGCAGAGCCGGGGTTAAGACCAAACTCGGTGATCCAGACCTTCTTTCCGGAGAGAGAAGCGGCCTTCTCGACCTGAGCCTGGAAGCGGTCGATGGTCTTCTCGTCGTAGATGTCGTAGAAGTGGATGTTGGTGGCGTCGACGATAGCGTCAGGGCAGCAGTCGTTGAAGCGGCTGAGCCAGTCGAGACCCATTGGGGCCTGGCCGTTGGTGACACTGGGACCGACGATGGTAACGTCAGGGTGGGCCGACTTGACAGGGTTCATGTACGTCTTCCAGGCGGCGCAGGCGGCCTCGGGCTCCATACCGCACTGCTCGGCGTGGTCGCACTCGTTGAAGCCCATGACAGCGGTGGAACCCTTCTCGACGGCCTTGTCAACGTTGGCGAGCCACTCTTCGGCGCTGGACTTGCTAGGGCTGTGCATCATGGGAACGAAGGTAGTTCCAATGTCGTTGCTCTCGGTTTGGCCCCAGTTGTAACCGAAACCGAACTTGCTGCCGAAGGTAGTGCAGAGGTGAGCCTCGTTGTAGGCGAGACCGCGCTTGACACCGGAGTAGCTGTTGCCAGTGGCAGCAGTGGGAGAAGGAGCGGCAGAAGAGACAGCGGAGCTGGCCTCTGCGACGGGCTTCTGGATCAAAGATGCGGTGATCTCTGGAGTCTTGGATGAGACAGAGGCCTCGGGGGTCTCAGCAGGGTAACCAGCAGCGGCTGAGGACTTGGTCTCGGCTACGGGAGTCTCGACAGGAGTCTCGACAACAGATGAAGAAGCCGCCTTGGTTGGGGTAACGGCGGGGTACTCAGCAGCCGGAGAGCTGGCTCCGTATCCGTTGTCAGCCGAGGACTCAGCGGCAACGGGAGATGAGGTGGGGACACCAGCGCCACCGCCAGGAGTGACGGTAACGGTGACCTTCTCGGAGGCAGTGACGGTGACTGTTGCGCCACAGACACCAGTGGAGGCATCAGCGGCCTCGACTCCCTTGTTGTTGTCTCCTGCAAGGCCGGTAGGCTTGACGTAGATGGTTGAGTATTCAGTCGCAGTGGAGGTAGAGGTGGTGTC